CGGCATCTCAAAGATGCGCACAAGCGAAAGCAAGCCGCTTGGAAGAACCTGGCCCAGCCTTCCGGTCAGGACCCCATTCAGGAGCCTCGCAGTGCTTATGTCACGCCCATCAGGCATTCTGCAGGGAGAAGCCGTGCACAACCTTTGATGCAGGCGGTGATACAGGTGTGCTTGGGCTGGCGGTTGGGTTGCACTTTGATTTGCGCTTGTACATCCTGTCCGGTTTGTCTCTGTTGTAGCCGTCCATAGGCCTGGAGCCATGGCGTCATCTTCAAGTGATTGGTTCCGGGCTCCACGTCGGCTTCGGCTGTCGGGTGCGGTGTTTTGGGCGGCTGCTCCGCGATCCCGTCCGCTTCAGGTCCAGGTGGTCGTGGTCAGCCCACGTCAGCCGTGCAGGCGTCCTCTAGGCACGTCCCTTGGTTTTTCATCTTGCTGAGTCTCTCGCCCGGCGAAGGCGCTCCCGACGAACCTTATGGTCCTGCACTTCCCTTTTCGTGCCGTCCGTTCTTTGTTGCTGTTTGCTCGTGCTTAGGCCCGACAAACACTCCGAGTGATCCTGACCGCGAGCCTACGCAGAGCAGCTCGGCAGCTGTGGTGGCTTTGCCGTCTCAGGCGTGGCCCCTTGGCGAATCCGACTGCTGAAAGGGGCGCTCTCAGGGGAGACCATGCTTGCACCCGTTACCCGTTGTCGTGAGTGCAGCTTGGCTTGCCTCACTTGAGCAGTCGCGCTGGCCAGCGTTGATTTCTATTTTTCTCGCGATCTTGCCCTGGGCCCTGTGCCCTTCTGCACTTCTGATCTCCGTGATCATGGCTCATCATGGCTCATCGCGCGATGGCAACGAACAGGCATGGATTCACATACATTGCGCTGTGCCTGCGTCCGGTCATGTTCGGCGAACACAAACCACACAAAGATCACATCTGCATTAACTGCTTGAAAGGCCACCAGTCTACACGGACATCGTGCATGTTCCGATGGTGATTCAACAATGCGTCGGCCGCTGCACTGTATCGTCATCTTAGCTTGCCTCGCATTTTTCGTGCGTGTTCGTGCTTAGGTTTTCGGACTTGTCCGATCGAGCCTAATGCCTTCGGTGTGGGCCGCAATAGGCTCTCTGCCTCGAAGAGCTCGGATGAGCCCGGTGGATCCCTGGTACGTTCGGCCAGTAGGCCGACTGAGAATGATGCCGTGACAAAGGAGCAGGCGGCCTTCCGTGATCTTTCAGGCACGAAAGGAATCTAGGACGGGAGGTCGCAGTTGACATCGGCGGGATGAGCAGGCGTGAGGAAGAGTGCATGTTGGGCTGAGCGTGCTTTGGCATTTCTGATGCACCGGTCGTTCTGGCCGGAACACACCTTCTATCGTTTTCGGTCAATGCGGATGCTCGCATGTTTCTCTTTGTGACACAGCACAACGGATTGGCAACGACGACCATCATCTGAATCGGTGTCGTTCTCATCCAAATCTAAAGTCGTGGGCGGTGCAGCAGGCAGATACTGGAAGGTTTGGAAAGAAGCATCTTTCAGGGATTCACGGCGGGATAGGCTGGGTCATTTGCGGAAACACGACACAGCGTGCAGCCGTGCCACTGCGTGCTCGAGGTTTTCGCGAGCCGGGCAGGCGATCCAAGCTTCAATCGGATTTCCACCGCATGTCGTCTAGGGTTCTAAGGACCAAGATGTGAAAGAGGGCCTGGAGAACCTTGTAATTGTCGTACTGGCCTGCACCTGGACTCTCCCTCTCTCTGTGATGGGTCTCGCGAAAAAGTGGCGAAACGGGATGTGCCGGCCCTTATGCACTGCAGATGTCGCACTGGGACCATGCTGTGCAAGAGAAGATAGGAACAGCATGCAAGCGGGCTGCCGATGCATTTGGCTGGCTCCCAAGATCGGACGCTCCACATCAGACCTGCATTGTGCCGCCGGCCGGTGTATCAAAGAGCATTCCGTTGCCTCAGTGGTGAGTTCCTGCGGCACTTTCACACTGTTCCACAGCGGAGCTGGCAGTCCACCAGCGGCGTTGGGACAAAACGTGCTTCAAACCAATTATCCATGGCATGGCCACCGACGTGATCAATACGCAGCTCCACCAGAGGAGCACATGCGAGCAGTGGTGGGAAAGCGGAGAAATGTGCAGTCAATCGTGGCTTGTGTCGTTTGCAGTCTGTCAGTGCAAAACAACACACATGCACAGACCGTATTCCTGGACGCAGGGCTTATCGCAGCGCTTGCGTGCGGCATGCCGGCAATGTGGCCGCGTTCTCGAGCCCGCGTGCTCAGATTTCTCGAAATTCACGGGCTTCGATCGATGCTTCCAGGCGAATCTCAGCGATTTGATTTTTGCGTGCTTCGCGCTTTGCAGGCAGCAGCTGCAATCTGCCGAACCCTCATTGCACCCATGTTCTTGACTCCCGACCAGCACCGTCATTTGTCGGGAGATGGAAGGTTTTATCATGATCATGTGCCAGAAAAACATGTTAACATTGCAGCATTCCTGGCACTGTATGCACGTGTGACTACAGTTATTTTCTGCGACAGTGTTCTTGCGACTGCCGCCTGATGAAACTTGCACCATAAGGCCCACGACATTTCATGGACGGAGTCCGGACCGTCCCCATTGGACATCGACTGGGAGGCAAACAATTGTTGGCTGCAGCCTTCTTTCCAGCATCACCTTACGCTGTGTCGCGCTGCAGGCTGTGGAGGCGAAGACTCTCCAGGAGCTGGGTCAGATCCTAATTTGAGTCTATCACCTATTGGACCCGTTACTATGCCTTCACAGATGCCATGAGGCTCCACTGCTTTGCCGGATCTCGGGCCATAAACTCAGCCTGCCCTGCTGTTGGAGACTCTGCAATAGAGCATGTTGACGCATGTGACCAGCCTTTTGAAGACAGGTCTGCGCCGGCAATGAAGGCCCAGGGACCCTGCCAGTCCTCGATGTGTTCTTGCTTGCTGGCATCTATTCAACCTGGTTGCTTTCAAATCGTAGTGCTCGCACATTGTCACGAGCAGGCAGCACCCGCTGCAGAGAAGCTGCTGCAGGACGAGGCTTCCGAGCTTCTGTGCCAGCACTAAAACATCTGGTAACAGGCACACCAAATGCAAGAGTGAAAGGAATTGCAATTTGAATTTCTGCTATGCTCGTGCTGGAACTGGCGCATACTCAACGTTGTGGACCACAGGTCGTTTGCCGGACAGAAGCCCGGTTGTCAGACGGTGTCAGTCCCTGTCTGCAAGGAAGTGGCACCAGAAAGTTGTTTGTGAGGGCAGCCAAACCACCCACACACACACATACACACACACACATACACACACACAAGCACACACACACACACACACACGCAGATGCAAGCATGTGCGTGCGAGAGGTTTGGCGGTTATTCCTCTGTTTTGCTTTCCGGCTTGCCTCGAATCCTTTCATGTTTGCACGGGTATGCGTACTGTAGGTGGTGAGTTATCAGACTGTTTTCCAGAGGTTGCGTTCTGCCGGAGGGTTGTGCCTTGCCCGTCTCTCGATGTGAGCCTCGAGCAAGCTTCTCTGGGTATTTGTTCCCTCTGCAACACGGTCGCAACGCATCTTTGGCAGTCACGTGCCCATCAATGAATCTGATCTTTCGACTGTATGGATCAGATCAATGATTGCATGCGCAGTGTAGTACACAGGTCACCTCCTTAACACGACTCTGCAGGCCTAGAATCAAGGCACGCAAAACTCTTTTGGTCCCCTCAAGACCATTTGACCAAATAGTATCTAGGTGCCACCGCAGCGCCACTAGAACATGTTTGACGCATACACAATAGTCGCCGACATCGTGAACCCTCAAGAGTTTCATGCATCTGGACAGTGAGTCCGATGAAGTATACCGTGCAGGTGGTGCTGCTGAAAAATGCCCCAAATCAGGCGCAATTCATCAGCGTTGCAGGGAATCAGCTTCAAAAGCTCATCAGTTTGATCGGAATTAAACAATCCAAATGCCATCAAATGCCAAAGGTGGCAAATTCTGCAACCATGCTAATGCCTGTTGTTGCTTTCTTAGGTGCCGTTTGCGTATGTGTGCTCAGAAGCAACTCCAAGGCGCGACTCGCGAAAGTGCACATTCCTTTGGCATCATCAGCAGAAACCCACGGATGAAGGACACCAATTGAATCCACTGATGGTTGCAAGTTCACAATGCCTTTTAAGCTCACACCAGTAGCTCCAATTCTCGAGCGCCTTGCGAGTGGAACGCAAGATCTGGCGCGCGTGGGCACGTGTCCGGTGAGCGCCCGAGCAGCAAGGGTCTCGGAAACCATCTCCCTGTAGGACAAGCTGGGCTACGTAAAGCAGTTGCTAATGCCTCCAATGGCGGCCGGGATATCACCCGTGCCAGATCGGCAACCAAAGAGGCGGCACACGCAAGCATGAATTAGTTGCCATTCATTACGAAGCCTCTCCTTAAACTTGGAGGGGACGAGGCCTGCTGTAAGGGGATCTTCTTGACATGAAGCCTCCTTGAACCCGGCCTCAAACTGCTACCTCACAGGCCTCATCAAAGCCTGCCCAGTGTTGGGGGTTTGCCTGTCAAGCCGCGCTTAACTTGGCTTCAATCTCACACACCAGAGGTGGCACAGGCCTCCCATACAAAACTCATACTCTGCTGTGGCGCTGTTGGTTGGTACCTGGCTCCAAACCCGTGACATTCTTCTAGATGTCAGGTGAAGCAGCAGGGTATGGAGCTGGACAGGCCAGATGCTTTGCGCAGGTACAGAGAAACGAGGCATTGGCCGGCATTCTGCCACTTGCAGGCTTCGTGCAGAAGTTCGATCGTGCCAGCAGCAGATACAGGCAGAACAGCCACATCCCCGGGAAATGAGGGCTAGCTCATCTTTCCATGTTGCGGACATGAGGAATGTGTCCAACGATCTTCGTGAACAGCTGCAAACACAGCAGGCCCGTCAAACCTTAGAGCATGTTCTGGCACGTCGCAGTCACAGCACAAATCTCTGCAGCTGTCGCAATGCTGGGACAGGCAGGAGATGCAGAACTCCTGCTTTTGCGAGAACAGCTGGCCGAAGAGCGGGAGCGCTCGCAACCCAGCGCAGAGAGGGCGGACATGGGCAGAAATGTGCGGCTGCGAAAGATCTCTTGGTCGACCAGTCCTTGTGGGAGACGTACTCAACATGCAAGGAAGAGAAGCCCTCGAAAACTCCAAGGCCTTTGCTCGCCTTTGCCGTGAGATCGGGTGCTGTTGGAATTCTGCGCAGTTCAGATCTACCTGTCGTGGTGTGGATGTGCTTGTCGGGAGGCTGCAGAGGACGAAAGCGGCGCGCCGGCTGTGGAGAAGCTTCTGCAGGACGAGGCCTGCGAGCGAACGCCCGGTAAGTCTTCCGAACCCGTAGCGTTCTTCTAGATGTCAGGTGAAGCAGCAGGGTATGGAGCTGGACAGGCCAGATGCTTTGCGCAGGTACAGAGAAACGAGGCATTGGCCGGCATTCTGCCACTTGCAGGCTTCGTGCAGAAGTTCGATCGTGCCAGCAGCAGATACAGGCAGAACAGCCACATCCCCGGGAAATGAGGGCTAGCTCATCTTTCCATGTTGCGGACATGAGGAATGTGTCCAACGATCTTCGTGAACAGCTGCAAACACAGCAGGCCCGTAAAACCTTAGAGCATGTTCCTGGCACGTCGCAGTCACAGCACAAATCTCTGCAGCTGTCGCAATGCTGGGACAGGCAGGAGATGCAGAACTCCTGCTTTTGCGAGAACAGCTGGCCGAAGAGCGGGAGCGCTCGCAACCCAGCGCAGAGAGGGCGGACATGGGCAGAAATGTGCGGCTGCGAAAGATCTCTTGGTCGACCAGTCCTTGTGGGAGACGTACTCAACATGCAAGGAAGAGAAGCCCTCGAAAACTCCAAGGCCTTTGCTCGCCTTTGCCGTGAGATCGGGTGCTGTTGGAATTCTGCGCAGTTCAGATCTACCTGTCGTGGTGTGGATGTGCTTGTCGGGAGGCTGCAGAGGACCAAAGCGGCGCGCCGGCTGTGGAGAAGCTTCTGCAGGACGAGGCCTGCGAGCGAACGCCCGGTAAATCTTCCGAACCTGTAGCGTTCTTCTAGATGTCAGGTGAAGCAGCAGGGTATGGAGCTGGACAGGCCAGATGCTTTGCGCAGGTACAGAGAAACGAGGCATTGGCCGGCAGTCTGCCACTCGCAGGCTTCGTGCAGAAGTTCGATCGTGCCAGCAGCAGATACAGGCAGAACAGCCACATCCCCGGGAAATGAGGGCTAGCTCATCTTTCCATGTTGCGGACATGAGGAATGTGTCCAACGATCTTCGTGAACAGCTGCAAACACAGCAGGCCCGTAAAACCTTAGAGCATGTTCCTGGCACGTCGCAGTCACAGCACAAATCTCTGCAGCTGTCGCAATGCTGGGACAGGCAGGAGATGCAGAACTCCTGCTTTTGCGAGAACAGCTGGCCGAAGAGCGGGAGCGCTCGCAACCCAGCGCAGAGAGGGCGGACATGGGCAGAAATGTGCGGCTGCGAAAGATCTCTTGGTCGACCAGTCCTTGTGGGAGACGTACTCAACATGCAAGGAAGAGAAGCCCTCGAAAACTCCAAGGCCTTTGCTCGCCTTTGCCGTGAGATCGGGTGCTGTTGGAATTCTGCGCAGTTCAGATCTACCTGTCGTGGTGTGGATGTGCTTGTCGGGAGGCTGCAGAGGACCAAAGCGGCGCGCCGGCTGTGGAGAAGCTTCTGCAGGACGAGGCCTGCGAGCGAACGCCCGGTAAATCTTCCGAACCTGTAGCGTTCTTCTAGATGTCAGGTGAAGCAGCAGGGTATGGAGCTGGACAGGCCAGATGCTTTGCACAAGTACAGAGAAACGAGGGATTGGCCGCCATTCAGCCACTTGCAGGCTTCGTGCAGAAGTTCGATCGTGCCAGCAGCAGATACACACAGAGCGGCCACACCCCCGGGAAATGAGGGCTAGCTCATCTTTCCATGTTGCGGACATGAGGAATGTGTCCAACGATCTTCGTGAACAGCTGCAAACACAGCAGGCCCGTCGAACCTTAGAGCATGTTCTGGCACGTCGCAGTCACAGCACAAATCTCTGCAGCTGTCGCAATGCTGGGACAGGCAGGAGATGCAGAACTCCTGCTTTTGCGAGAACAGCTGGCCGAAGAGCGGGAGCGCTCGCAACCCAGCGCAGAGAGGGCGGACATGGGCAGAAATGTGCGGCTGCGAAAGATCTCTTGGTCGACCAGTCCTTGTGGGAGACGTACTCAACATGCAAGGAAGAGAAGCCCTCGAAAACTCCAAGGCCAGCACCTATTCCAAAGAGTCCTGTTGTGGCTGCCTGTTCACCTAATTTGTAGTCGAAGATGTAGAGTTCGGAGCAGGCATGACAAGTTCTGGAAGCCTTGTGTGTGTGTCCAGCTATTTCCACCATCCCACCACCTCCGCCCTGCACCCCATGGCAATGCCATTCCTGTCAGCTTTCCGGCATCATCCGGCATCGCCGATCACAAGTATCACCAAACTGAAGAAGAAGAAGTAGAAGAAGATCCAGAACAGCAGCAACAACAACAACAAGGTAACGGGCACGTTTGCGCGGCCTCAGAAGAATGCAAAATTCTAGAGTTGTTTCTGTCTTTCGTTTGTAAGACGACATTTTGCGAATTGTAGTTTTCATATGTGTTGAGCTGCGGTTTTAGTGTGTGGCTGGAGAAGTGTCACAAATACCGTGGGGGATTTTGGGGGTGGCGTTTGAAGCTTTTTTCCGTTGCGGCCTGCGGGGTTCGTGAGTCTCAGGGACAGGACAACCCGCAATTTGTGTGATTGTGAGCATTTTGTGCGTTAGATGGTCGGTTCTTCAGAATACACTACCGACATCGTCATCGTTATCATCATTGTTATCATCATCATCGCCGTCAACGCCATCATCATCACCATCTTTGCCATCATCATTTTCATAATTCTAGTCACCCTGGTCATCATCATCATTTTCATCAGCACGGCCATCATCGTCATCATCACCATCACATTATTCTTCTTCTTCGTCAGTTCATTCAGCACAGCGAACAAACATCGCATCATCCTCAGCTTCTTGATTTCATCCTCTTCGTCAACACAGAAAGTGCACAAGGCCAAAATTGCCTGGCCGTCAGCAAAAAGCAGCCGAGGCTCTCAGAAATTGTGAAGATTTTCCATGCCTCCATCACGCCGCAGGCAGACATCACTGCAAGCATCGGTACAAACGGCTGGCATATGTGCAAAAACTCTACTTTTCAGAACAAAACACTTGCAACAGTGTGCACACTGCTACGAAAGCCACATCACAAAAAGTTTGTCCAAGCCGCAATGTGCCAAAACTCGAAGCTTGGCACATCGGAGGCTTGAAGTCGGTAGACCCTTCGAGGCGGGAGACGCACCACCTACCACCACCACCACCACCAACAGCAGCAACAAGAAGACCAAGAATAAGTACATGAACAAGATCAACAACATCATCAACAACAACAGCAACAGCGATAGCAATGCCAGCAGCAACAACAGCAACAGCGATAACAACAGCAGCGCCAGCACCAGCACCGCCATCACCACCACAACCCCACCAATAAGAGTAACAGCAGCAGCAGCAGCTACCACAAGTGCAACAGCACCAACACCCGAAACAGCAGCAGAAACAACACAAGGGGGCGGCGGCGGCAGAAGCAGCAGCAGCGGCCGAGAGAAAGCATCAAAAGCGAAGAACAAAGCATCTAGCCACGATAACGCGGCAGTTTCACAAGTATAGTTTCGGGCAGAAGTGATGACAAGACTTCAGGCGCAGCTTGTAACGTCGCCTGCCGAACACGACACTCCTCTGCTGATCAGCCGGCAAGTGTCAGATGCGCCGAGAACTTGGTGCACAGGGTCTTATCGCAGCATCTTCACGCATGAATGTGCTGTACAGTACACTGCAGCTTGTGGCGAAAGGAAGCAACAACACTCCAGCGATTCCTCGTGTGTGTAGGCTGGGCTTCTGGCGATCTAAGGTCTGACATCCACCAGACGGCATGATCCCAAGAGAAGCACTGGGTCAGTCGAAGTCGCTCATAGACGCCAAGTTGTCAGGCACCGGAAGCTCCGACTGCCGAATCCAACCAGCCAAGCGCAATCCAGCGAGGCACACCAGAGCCAGAGCAGCAAGAGCAGCCAGAGGCCAGCCTGAGTCCCACGAAGCTGGAGGCGACTAAGCCCGGTTCGGGTACGTCAGGTGTGGACGAGAACGAGACTGCAGAGCATGCTGGAGGGCTGACTCAACAACCGGAATCAAGCGCACATGAGGAGGAACCGCCAGCAGCACCGCCGGGTGTAGATCCACCTGGTTCGCAGGGAGAGGACAAGCTTCAGTACATCGAGCAGTCAGCAGCGGAGCGGCAGCCCCCACAGCCACAGCAGGAGAGTTGGCCCTCACAAGACCAGGAGCAAAAGAGGCGAGAAGACATGAGCCACGCCTGTGTCGGTCCAATGCCCCTGTGGCACATGTCGAACATCTGCAGGAGCGCCCAAGCCACAGCAAGCAGAAAGACGCTCCCGGAGACGCCAGAGGTCAGCGGGTGCCGTGTCGGATCCTGCAAAACATGTCCGATGAGCGTTCCACCAACACAGCAAGTGGTGCAGACGTCACGGGGTCACGGGTTTGTGAATTGCGCACCTGATCGTCGTATCGCCTTTAGATATCTATGGACTTCAGGAGTCGAACTGTGGAAGCGTGGTCGGTGAGCCAGAGGGCAAGTACAGCTCATTATAGCTTCCACTTAATCTGGTCATTCCATTTCATGGCAATCTTCCCGGGCCTTGGGTAACTCCGGCCTCTCACGACCAGGATGCTGATGTGTCAATTCGGTGCACACTTTCACTTACACGAACATGTCCTCTTTGTGACAATCACGCTTAAGAAAATTGCATCCGGAGCCAATGCCCCAAGCCAAGCAGCAATCATCCGGCCAACCTGCCGCGCGGAATCGAAAGGACTGTGCCAGCACGAGCCAGCAAGCGGAACCCAAAGGATCTGCGCATATTCAAAGTGCAGCTTCTGCCAGGTGTCGCAGCGCCATTCCAGAACAAACCAGTTTGGTTGGCCATGTGCAAACCGGTCTCAGAGTTGTCCACGGTCACCTCGGACGCACCTTCGTTTGCAATACTCACGGCCATGCAAAACCAAGAGTCGAAGGAGACTTGTCGCCAAACTGAAGCAGGTGCGCCAGTCTCTTCCACAAAATCCTTTGCCTCTGCCTGACTGTAAGTAGTGGGGGCTCGTGGCTGTAGCTAAGAGAAGACATCAGGACAGCCTGAAACTCCTTCAACAGACCTTCGCGGCTCTTCCTGATTTTGCAGTGTATTTGCTCCATGGTATTGTGCGGAGTTGCAGGACCGCCTCTTCGGCTCGTCAACAGCAACACGCGGCTCCACCGCATCCCTTTTCGATGATGACGACGACGAGGCTAGAGTCTTTCGGGAGAACTACTTCTGTCAAAAACAGTCCACAGTTGTCAGGATCTATGTGAGGTTCAGACTTCGTCCATGTTCGTCCGACCTCGAGAGCATAGTCCCCCACTGCCTGTCATCATTTCCTCACAGTCTCTCGCAGCATAGCGGAAGTATCCAATCCGATGTCAGGTCTTCCTGGCAAAGCCAAAGAAGGCCTCGTCACCGAGCAAGACAAGGCTCAGCTACCTGCTGCCGGCGATTTCGAGCTGCAGTCAAGCATGGCACCGCTGTCCGTACATTGGCGTCATAACACCAGCCGTTGCCGGCCCGTGCAGATGCATCAGATGCGACGACAACCTACACTGGACCTGCACTCTCCTTTCAGAATCTAGCTGCCTAGCTGTCTCGTTTTTCATACCGTCCGCCATTCGACTGTGTTGAAACAAGAGAGCCTGTACAAGAATCCAGAAGATAAACGGCTGACTATGCCGCGGCGCAGCGCAACATGCTGCAGCTCGGCGGGCGCATGAGTGGCTGGGCCCTTGCAGCGCCGCTCGGCGTACAAGCGTGCGAGAAAACAAAAAAAAGGGTCGAGTTTTTAAACTTTGGCCAAAGGGTGTTGGTGTTCCAGGCTGCTCGTTCTCACGCTCCTTCTGCTATGCAGCGCCTGCTGTGGAAGACGGGTCGCCAAGTGCTTTGTCGATCCCCGACGAGGCGTGCAAGTGCCTTTGTGTCCTGTTAAACTTTGCACGCATGTTTCTGAGTGTACCTGGGTAGACACGACGATTGGGTTTCATAGCATCAGCAGAGTGGATAGAATTGCATCACAAAGCGGCTATGAAAAGGCTTGCACAAGTATATCCTGCTCTCGCTCATTTGCCTTTTCATTCCTGGTCCATACTTCCACGATGCCTGTCAAGCAATGGCTCAGTGGTGACTGCCGTGTTCGCCACCACCTTCGCCAGTGATGACCACTGAGGATGGCCTCGTGCAGAGCTTCAAGGGTCCAATCTCTGCAGCTGGGATTGCCATAGCTGACAGCATGGTACACGTGCACAACATTCTCACTGAGGATACAATGGATTTGAGCAACTCCCAGTTTGCTTCGCTCTTCGTCGTGAGCTCGCTTACAGGCATCGGATGCGTTGAAATGCATAAAACTGTGATTTAGCAAAATCTTTTTGAGAACTCCTTAGCTCACAAACTTTGTGCAACTCTTGGAAGCTCCTGAGAGATGTTCCCGATGTGCTCAGTCATGTGCCATGACTCAATTTCGTGACGAACTTGCGTGGCTAATCCCTTTTAAGCCTGGGTGCAGGGGTGCTTTGTTCTCCAGGCAGTGGCTTGGCTCGATTGTAGTCCGGACTCCTGCGACATCCTGTGACCATCTGTGACCACACATATATCAAACTCACATATCAGACCCAGCGCAGAACGTCAGGCTTGTTGATTTCTCGTGTGGGGCGCACGAGCAGTGCTATAGCGGCAAGCTTTCTGGCTGCGATAGGCACGGCGGGGAGTGAGGAGGGACCAGGGACATTCTGAAAGAAGCCAGCTTTTCAGCAGTGTGCCGCACAGTTGTCGTTTTCAATATCTTTTCAGGCCTCATCAAGCCGATAGATACCGATAGGGCTCTCCAAGCCCCATGGGGTTGCACTTGCCCCTCTTGGCCCCCCTTTCTGAACGTGAATCCCTTACTTGCATGAATTTCGCGCGGAACGGAGAATGCACATCGCTTCCCGCCTAGTCTCGCACGCAGGGAAGAAAGAAAAGTTGCACAGCATTATTGTTGGCACCACCACCTCGGGGTTGTAGAAAAGACGATATGCATGGCCAATCCGTCGACCCCAGAATCAAAGCGAAGTGGAAGCTGACTGCCTCTACAGCGACAGCGCCGGTTAAGACACAGTTATTTTTTCGTGAGGGGGCGCTCGATTTCTCATTTTTGAAGCGCACGTTTTTTCGGAAAAAACGTTTCGGGATTTGAGGGTGCCCTGGATTTCTCAACCCAAATGTTTTAATTTGAAACGGCAGCAAAAAGAAACACACATTCAAGAAGTGAGATCACAAGGGGATTGGAGCGCACGAGTGGACCACGAGTTGTCCACTCCAGCTCAAGTGCTTATCCACTCGGGCATGGCATCCTTCAGACTCCTCAGACTCCATCATGGAGATCCCATGTTCCCCCAGCGTTTAATCAGCCCTTACCAGAGCCCACCAAAATAAGAAATCGAGCCCCTCATTTTCTCAAATTTAAGAAAACGAGCCCCTCAATTTCTTATTTTGGTAGTTTTCGTTCCTACATGGCCAAGCTTAATTTAAGCCCTTATTAAGCCCTGAAAAAGCCTTTAGAGCCCTCCAAAGCCGTCATTAAGGCCTTATTAAGCCCTTATTAGGCAAGACCGGAACCCGCTAAAATGAGAAATCGAGCCCCTCATTTTCTTAAATTTAAGAAAACGAGCCCCTCAATTTCTTGTTTTGGTGGCTTTCGTTCCTATATGGCAAAGCTTAGTTTCAGCCCATGGCTCGACTCCTCCTGTGCTCTCATTTCTTGGTTTCCTTTGTAAGGGTTTGGCACCGAGCTTTTGGAGTACGAAATCTACTCCTTAGTTTCTTGGTTTACTTTTTTGTGCGAAGTGAACAACACCCGCGAAGACAAGATGAGAAAGAGCAAAATAAGAAATTGGCACGCCGAGTCCAGGGCACCCTGGATTTCTTATTTTGAATGTGCGTTGTTTGTTCTCTCTCGGCTGTCCGAGGGGCTCAATTTCTCAAACCAATGATTTCTTAAGCAGTGCTGTTGCTGTAGTAGTTTGTGCAATACAGTGGCAAGAACGCAAAAAGAATCCTCAGCTGAACATGCCCAGAAGAGTGGGAGAGATGCCCGCTCACTCAACCACAAAGTGTTGCCAAGTAGACATGCCTGACGCCTGGTCTTGCCTGGTAGTCATGCTAGTAAAGCTGCTAGTATCGTCCTACATGGACCGGGTTAGTCTGTCGCAGAAAGACTTGCGGACGTGATTGACCTCTTCTGGCACCTTCCTGGCACGGCATGTAATGTAGGTGCCTGAAGAGTTGGAAGACCTGGTAGTAGTCACCAGTCCTGACTCAGTAGTGACCTGTTGCAGGTTCCAGTGTCACGACCATGGGATACCTGTGGAAAAGTTTGGTGCTGATGCTCTTCGGAAGGCTCCTGTTTTGGTTAGGCCTCAATGCGCCTTGGCACACGAAGCTTATCACTACCACATCATTCGATTACCTGCGCAAGTCGGCCAAATGATACCATGTCTGAAGCCTGATTGTGCGGACTGAGACAGCAGGTTCTGCTCATGGTGCAAACCATTTTGACATACGATCTCTTCAAAGGACCGGCAGCAAAGCAGTCTTTAGTTCAAGCACGGCTCTTCAAGTCACAAAGCATCCTGGGGGTACTGCCAACCTGAGCTGGTCAGGCAGGTTACCAGACTGTCAAGAAGTGTACTTTTGTAGGGAGGTCAAGCTAGCAGCTTCCAGATGCTGTCAGCTCAAGTCAGCACAGAATCTAGAAGATGATGTGATCTGGACAGGAAGAAGTTTGAATTGTGCCATGACCACCATCGTGCTCTCAATCCGTTTGGGAGGCGAGGTGCTAGTCCTATGTCATCCTCGGGCTTCATGCCATGAGTGAACACGCTCGGAGATTGAAGCATGATAGAGCACTTGTGTGGAGCTGGCTGTTGGGTTGAGTAGAACTTGAAGTTGTATTGTCTTGACGCACAGCATCCAGGCAGCATGTCCTATCCGATGTCTGGGCCACTTCTCCACAGCCTGGGTGTATTAGATTCGTTGTGGTTCTCAGCAGCTCGGTCGAGACTTCCGGTCGTGGAACATGCGTAGATTCGGCGTAGATAGTCAAGCTTGGCTGAACGTAAATCTGCCACGAGGGTCGGCAGCCTTTGAAGACATGAGTTGCGGGGCCTGAGGTGATGCTGGTTGTGGCTGCATTCCTTTCGACTCTGTTATTTGGCTATTTGTTTCAGTGGACGGCCACTGCTCGGGCTGTTCGTCCGATGCTGGAGCGGCGTCAGCCACCATCTAGCATAGAGCTGGCTTTGCTTCGAAAGGTCCCCAAGCTCGCCGGTGCCCAAGCTGCCCAAGTTGCAACTCAAAGCAACAGCACGTGCCTCCGCAAAAGCGCTTTGACATCAGAGCAAAGCAATCCTCCGACGCTCCATGACTGCAGCGGCTGAGCGGCTGAGGTCTTCGTATTCTTGTCAGGTATTGCAGCTATTTGGGGTGTCGTCTTTCCCTTTGAAGTGATTGGCGACGACATGCTTCAAAAGGAATTCGGATACTCGGCCGACAACGCCGGCTTCATCATTGCATTGGCTCCTATGATTTCAATCTGCAGCCCTGCGTTCGCACCTTTTCTCGGATCCAGTTTGGCACACAAGCTGGTGGCGTTTGGCTCTTCGGTTGCAACTGACAGCGTCAACTGCTTGAAAAAACTTTCTGCCGTCGTGTACCTACTCCAGCAATCGGCAATCGGATTGCAACTCTTTCTGTTCTTCGCATCGACAAAGCGCTGTCATCATCGCGCATGCTCCGTTGCAAGACATTCAGCAGAAGGCTGCGGCGGCACGAGCTTGGTTGCTCTAGCGACATGGGATGTCAAAAGGTGTCAACAGGCAAAGGCTGCCTGGCTCCTGCGAGCCGAAGCTGAGCTGACTCTAAGGAACCGGCATGCTGCTCCTTGTGATTGCATTTTTGGTCATCGCTGTGCTGAGATGGATCGTTCTCGGCATCCTGCTTGTGGGACTTGGATACGCAGTGCCTCGGAATGCATAACTGGTCAAGGTTAGCTATAAGCATTACCGAGACGTAGGGATCGAAAAGTCTTTGTATCTTAGGTATCTGTATGTGCTTCTTACAGTACTCTCCCTCTGATCATTGCTGCCGTCGCCCCTGCTGATCTTCAAAAGAAGATGGAAAGCTTGGCAGTGGGCATGAATCAAGCGGGCTCTGGGACGAGCATGATTGTCTCGAACCTCACGATAGGTATTATCAAGGACTCCGGTCGAATCTGCTGGTCTGCTAGGATTGTTGCTATCGTTCTGTCAGGACTTAGCTTCTTACAGATGGGCCTGTGTCTACCTTGCAGCGGTGGCCTGCTGTGGACTTGCAAGCGCTTCTGGGCACAGTGCGTAGCGATTTCTGGTTTGCGTGCCGCAACGCTACAGAGGATAGCAGCTGATGTCACAGAAGTTGCCACATTTCCGAACAGGAACGACATTAGGACTCTGTTCAGGTTTGCTTTGTGTTCAAAACCTGTCCGCGAGAACTTTGCGATCCCTCCGTGGAGACGCCAATGGAGGCCAGTGCAAGTTTTGCGATCCTTTCGCATTGGTCCAGGTGGGCGCTGTTTTCTGCTGTTTTGGTTTTCCGTTGGGCAAACCAAGTCTACACTGTACACGAAGCAGCAAGCTTGCCATCGGAAGGAGCAGCTGTCAGGTAGAATCAACATGCAATCTCATCTGAGTTGTTCGGGAAACGACAGTTGGCAAATAGCCAATGTTCGTTCTTCTAGCTTGTCCAGGATGTGTCGACAGTGGCTGGAGTGGATGCTCCGGCAAGCCTGCAGACGAGCCAATCGGGGAGTGCTCTCGAAATTCAGGATGAGTACTACCGGTCGGAAACCAAGACCTTCCTCATACCTGGCCTTCCGTCTTGCACACCGCTCGCAGCAAAGGACAGATGCGTGATGGACATGGGACTTATTTGGATGTGTGCGTCTCAACACGCTCCTGTGTTGATCTGTATATAGGTATGTGGTGCCATGACTGAAGCTTGCAAGACTCGCAAAGAATCCGGGTGTAGCATGAGCTGCATGACACATACAAATGTGTTGTGGACGGAATTGGTATGTACATAAACGGGTGCACGGACACCTCCAAAATAGGTTGCCTACTAAGTAAGCTCCTTGCATCACCAAAAAGCTGCACACGGACTGGCTTCCCTCCTTCCAGGCATGTCGTGCTCAGATTCTTTTCCAGCATTGCCATCAGATTTGCATGCATGGAGGAGTTCGTAACGCCTCGGCCGTGCGTCAGTCGCCGAATGAGTCTGACAGTCATGCTATCCCGCGCGGCACACTCAACCATCTCCATATCTGACATGAAAGGATGAAATGATGAAAGTATACAGAAGCTAGAGTATGTCCGGTGAAGATGTGCGACATTGAGCCCAATGGCCGCTGTGGCAATAGAGCATTGCCCAGATGGCGAGCATCGCCTGGTGGCACTGCGCCATCTGCAGGCAGACGAGGCTCAGTCGAAGCACGAAGATGTATCGGTTATTGTATCACGGAGTTGTGCGGCATCATCCCTGCATGTCAATGGGGCAAATCTTGACCAGATCCAGAGCCTTCGCACTCCATCACCAGAAGCGTTGCATTGCAATCTGTATGCTTCTACATAGCTTTCGCAATTCTGAAGAGCTGCCATCGAACGTGACTGTAAGGCGTTTTCGTTGGAGCAGTCATTTGACATTTTCTATTTCGCTTCTGCTGTTCGTTCCTGGGGATGCGACATAGGTACAAGCGGGGAAACCATCATATCTCACCAAGTGTTGCTCGTTGTGCTTGGCACGGGTCCAAAACCGACAGGAACTGCTTCGGCCATAGAAAGTAACTGTAGGCGTTGCATCTGCACTTGTGCTTGTTGCAAATAGTTTGCAATGTCTAGCCGTTCGTTAGCGCGTACTGGACATGCGGTTAGGCACAAAATGTGGATAAATGCGCTCCTTCCGCCCAACAGCAACCCTCCAAACCACGACTCCGGCATGTCCAGCTCACTGCAACCGGCAATTGCGTGAAAGTGCAGCACCGAGAACAGCTCGCAATTGCGTGTGGAACGGCCCATGTCAAGCCTGCAGCTTGGCAGCAAAAGGCCCGACAGTATGATCCATTTGTTCGGGCATTGGCCACAGTGCCGTACCTCACGGCTGTCCTGCCAAAATGTGGCCAAGGGCTGGCGATAGCGAACGTCCTGCCAAGCAAGTCCATAAACTCTTAAACTCGAAACACCAAACCCTGAAGAACCGTAAGCCAGAAGCCCCAAACAGGCCCATAGCCCGCAACAACCTCAATGCTTAAGTGCCCGAAACTCTGAATCTAGAGTTCATTTGCCTCGCTGTGGCTCAGCAGTCCCAAGGCTTAAACCCGAAAAACCGCAAAAAGCAAACCCTATACATTCTTAAACCTGCAAAACTTCAAGCCATGCATCCAGCAAAATTCGTGCCAAACCAACGCGAGGAGACTGATGCACGTTTTCAAAGTGAAAGCACAGCTTTTTCTGCTCCATACAGTCACAGCTCGCATCAGGCGATTCTGGAGGAGACGCCACTTCTCGAAATGTCCGGGACTTGACAGACAGCAGGAACCTGGGAGGTTGCAGGTCTGGTGTCTAAAGCGGTCCTGCTGTGCTGAAGCGAGTTGATTCAGTTGTATTCAGTTTGCAAGGCCGGATGAAGAGATTCTTCCGCTAGCATGTTCGCCCTACGTGGCTGCATGGCGCTTTGCCTGCAAAAGCCTGGGTCAGGAGCCGGGGCAGATCGGTGTGAGATCCAGGATGGTCTAGGCATTGCCCCGCAAAGCAGGCAAGTGGTCACTTAGAGGCCGGAGCCACCCTACCCTGTCACCATTTGTCGCCTCATCCAGCTCGGCAGTCGGCAGGAGGGCATTCAGAAAATCTTCGAGCACAACTTTTCTCAGGGTGCAGCAGCAGGAAGCAAAGCCCAACAAGTTTGCCAAGCAGTGAAGGCTGAGGCTGTGGTTGCATGGCTCAGCAGGCGAGGCAGCAAGCTAGATTCCGGCTGTGTGCTGTGCTGAGCGGAGGTGCCTTTCGCACAGCAGCGAAGCGCTTCCCGATTTCTCGCGCTTAGCCCAGCACAGCCACAGGATCCCCTCCCGGTGAGAGATGGAACACCTCCGCTGGCTTAGATGATCCTCGTGTCGAACTCTTTTCGTTTCAGAGGCACCTGAGCGGATGTGTCGAACGTTTTGCATCATCCCAACATACTGTGGAGACGACACAGTCAGCGTGTTCCTTGGGCAGGTCGAGAGGGCGGCCGCATCACTGCCCTCTTCGAGACTATGTCGCGTGCTAACCATTCGTGCCTCCCAAATGCCCGGATGGTCGGTGATGGCCATCCAGCCAAGCTCATGACAACCAAGTACGTCGAGTCTCAGGACCGGGATTTGTCATGCTTCTACCAGTAGCACGGCTCGAAGTGCTCCGGAAAGTGGACGAAGCTAGCATAAACAGAACATCATGCATCAGGCAGTTTCGTACTAAAGTATGGAAACATACAGAAGGGTGTCGTATTGCAGCAACTGACCGTGACTGGGTCATCGGGCCGACCGAACCCGGTCAACCGGGCCTGGTCGACTCCCCGGTCGAACGGAAGAACTGACCGGGTGACCGGACCGACCGGAACTGTGATTTGTCACGGACATGTATGTATACATGTGCTTCTGCGTCCTGGTTAGGATTCATGCCAACTTTGTCTCACTTACGCAGCTTGACTACTCAAGTACCGCATCCGCGAGTACCAGCAAAAGATCCGCTAGCGCCTGGGGGTTCTAGTGTTGTCTTTCCGCTGAGCGTCAAACTTACGGTTTCAATCTCCGATCGTCCTTGCTTTGCACCGCTTGCTTTACTTTGACCTACGATTGGTTGCCTTGGGCTTTGTGACCGAGAGTTGAGTGGAATCCTCCGCTTTTCACAGGTTATCAGCCGTAGGGCCTCCGCATCCGATTGTGGATTGCTGCTTCGCTGCTGCTGCTTCGGCACTCGGAACGCCTGATCCAATCAGCGTCCGATCACTACCGTTTTCCTGGCTCAAACCAAGTTCGGAACTTGTGGTTGGCTGCGCCACCGAGAGAATGGCGACTCCGATCGGTTCTCCTCGTGTCCCTTCGACTGTCGGTTCTTCACTAGTGACGCCAGTTGCACGGGATGTCGTGGAGCCTGATGAAAGTGCCCACGCATCCCGCTGCACTGCACCCGCCTCGCACGCTTCGCTCGCTCCGCTTCGCTGCTTGCTTCGCCGCCTGCTGAGGACGATCAGAGAGCTCAGCACCATGCGCCGCTTCTGCCATGCTCTGCTGCTGCTTTCGCAACGCCTGGCACGATGCACGCCGGCACGCTGCCTGCTTCTGCCACCGCTCGTGCTTTGCCTTTGTTGCCTGCCTTTTCTGCGTCCGCTGCTCCCGCTGCTTCCGCACCTGCCCTTCTTCCGACCGATCTTTCATCCTGTCCTCTGACCCTTCGCGGGGATCCAGAGGGCGCTCGGGCCCTCTTTGGGTCCGGGCCAGACGACCGCGGTCCACCGACTTCGGACCCGGCGTCTTTCCGTCCACCGCGCCCCGATTCTTACGGGCCGGTGGCTGGCCGCGGTGGAGCTCCGCTCCCAGACGTGCCCATGAGCGAGCACCCAGATGCGCCCCATGCTTCCGTCGCAACGATTGACGCGGCGGATCCTGGTGGTGCTGCCCCCGCCACCGATAACGGCGGGAGGCTTACTGGACCCTGTGCTGTCAGGGCCCTGGTCGATGAAGCTATCGGGTCGGACGCATCCGCGCGCATCGCCGCCGATATTTTGGCGATCGCGCAAGGTGTGACCAACACCCAAGCCGACCTCGACATACTGAGGAACGGGGTCTCGGATGTCACCGAAGTGCTTGAAAACAAGATCCGAGACATGTGGGAGCTTCTTCAGGGTGCACTGAGGGATGAGCATCAGCTTCTTACTCATGTGCAGGACTCGATCCGCGAAAAGCGAATTTCCGATCTCGAGTCCCTTGACGAGCGCTTCGAGAGGCTCAACTCGATGATAAACGATCGATTCATCGAGTTCGATGAGCGGATCCATCAATTCAATGAGAAGCGCGCAGGATCGCTATCCATGCAGCTTGCCGAGACGAACTGCCACATCAGGCAGTACCCAGACGCGCTACGGCAAATACAGATTAATATCTCTAATGCTGAAGCGCGTATCGCTGCGGTTGAACAGCACGCTACTCACCGCATCGAAGTCATTAGATCTGAGATGAGTCGTGCTCTCTACGATCATAAGGAGAGTAACCGAACTCTTATCGATCAACTTACTGCCCGTGTTCAGTATCTCGAGAGCGCCCACGTCCGCAGACAAGGTTCTGATAAATCGACGCCTTCGCGACGAGAACGAACGCAGTTCTTCGATATCAGTGACCATGATGGGGAAATCCCACGCCCTGCGGACTTGCCACCAGTTCCTGGTGCACTATTCCCTGGCGGGCATGCTACTGCCATTCCGAGATCTTCACTGTTAGGTCCGATCGATCATGGCTCTCCGCCGGGATGCAACGCCGCACCCGCTGAAAAAGCCTCAACAGTGCACTCCCGGACGAGTTGCATGAATCTCGACGAGATCTTGAGGCGAGCTCAGCAAGGAGTCGCTGACGAACATCTTGGCGAAAGTCGTGGGCAAAATAATCCTGTGGAGCCTGTTCGACAAAATTATGGCCAAACGTCAGCCTCTTTTTCGGGAAGATCGCCGAATCCGGCCGTTCCTCCCGCAAATGCCGCTGGATCGACATCGCTTCCGGCTCGACCCCGAGCCCGAACCCGCTCAGCTGCGACGCTGGATCGTCGATATGAAGGAGATGAAGGAGCGAGTTGCCAATGCATTCGCATACGATCCCGGCTACGCTCTCTCCTGGGTTGAGATTCCCGATGGTACCCGATACGAGGACCTTCTGGAAGAATGCAAGTACGGAATGCTCGAGAACGAATGCAATTCGGCCTTCCGTGAGTGCGTTAAATCCATTGCATTGAAGAACAAGATTCAGACCGAAACCGAGCGCATGCACACGATTAATCGGCGACTCGGGAGTAGGCAGATCTTGTGGCTGTTGGCCGGTGCGCAAGCAAACCCGGCGCAGTCAAAGAGATGAAGTCGTACTCGGCGATGGTGAGGAGTATGCAGTTCCTGCACCTGGAGATGACGGACTGATTGACGTCGAGGTTGGTTTCGATGATGATGGATTTCTCGAACGGATCGATGACGGAGGCGATGATCAGTCCGGATCCTTCCAGGGCGCAGAAGTTGACCAACGACTTCCGTCCTATCAGCGCCCCAGCAAATTCTCTCCCACGAGTAAACCTGGTATATTTCTTGGATACCATTTCGAGAATGGGGGTAAGTGGGATGGTGACTATATCGTCGCGGATCTTGAAGACTTCAAGCGCGATGCTACGCGTGCGAGTGTCCATCAGGTTAAGAAAGTGTATTGCTCACCAAAGGAACGATGGACCTTTCCAATGCTGGCGGTGTACGATAAACAAACCCGCTCAGTATGCATCAATGATCCTGCGATGCAGTCTACCGTACCAAAGCCGAGTGAGCGCCTGGATGCTTCCGACATGCTCGAGCTCGAAGATATCGATGAAATATTCGCCCTCGACGATTCGACTCGAATGACTGATGAAGATATTCAGCGGGCTCGTGAGGCCGAGTTGCGGGTCGAATCCTCTCATGGAGGAGGGGTCGATTACTGGGAACATGATCCATCCACGCACAAATGGACGTATCACGTCGTGGTACCGAGAAAGGCGATGGTTCATCCCAGTAAGACTCCCGGATCTATTGGCGAATCGCCTGACCCGTGGAAGTTGAGCACAGTGCGCATCTCGCATGTTCAGTACAAGGACAAGAGCCCGGTAACGATATATGAAACTGGGTCGGGTATGCGTTTGGTAAGACGAGACTGATGCAGCTCTGGACCGGCACTGTTGAGTTCTTCGATGACGGTTTTGCCCCACCCAAGAAGAAGCTGCCTCCTTATCATGGGTCAGAGATCCTGGAGGGCGAGGGGGGTTTACCGTACCGTCAAAGTGTGCCGCGTGCAGAGCGCTCATATAAAGGCTCTAGGAAGCCAAACTCCCTTGACTCTGAGTCATGGCGAAGCATGAATCGCGCTGAGCGGGAGGGTTACGTTGAGGCTGAACGCCGTGAGGCTGAGTCTCATGCCATGTCACGAGAGGACTCTCGCGACGCTGCTCCCGTTGATATCGCCTTCGACTCTGACTACGAGTCCAGTGCCGAACGGCACGACAAAGACTACTGGTATCACGATGTCGCAGCTGGCACTGTCACTCGATTCCATGTGATCGAGCGCCCAGCGCGATTTAACCCAACCTCAGTCAAAGACTGTCCAGTCGATCCAGCGACCCTAACCGATGTACGGGTAACTATGGCTATGACGGACGGCACGGAGTTTACGATACAAGACGCCTGGAGGGCGCACGATACGCGTTCTCTGCCGTGTCGATGGACGGGGAAGACCATCTTCGTCATTGGTTCCTCTGCCAAAACGCAGGTCAAAGTTCGTACCACCATGCCGAGTAAGGATGGTACTGAACGACGTGTGCAGACTGCCAATGGATATTATGGTCATGTGCTGCGAGCGAAGGTACGAACTACCATTCCTGCCAAGTCCCGCGCTTGTGTTGTTACGGATCTTGAATTCGATCCGCCAAGCGGTATGTCCGCCCGAGTTCAGCCCCTCCGTGGAAGTGGCCTCGAAAAAAGTCCGGCCATGTGCACCTACAACGAGGGTGCAACCCAATCGGGTGTTGACGTTATTAATCCTACTGACTCCGATATTCTTATCGAGTCCGGACAGGATGTTGCGGTAGTTCAGTTCTACACTTCCGTGTTGGCCGCGGTGGAACTCGATTTCACCGCGGAAGATGAAGCGGGTACTTCTGCTCCAGCTGAACCGTCCGATATTGGTCTCACAGCTGATTCCGTGCCTGCGATGCCTACACGATCTGAATCTCGTTCCTCGGTGTTCTTCTACAGTGCATGTGTCGCACGGCCCGTTGATCGAAAGGAACGCGCCGCCAATCCCAAGGCCAAAGCCGCTCTTGATAAGGAGTGGAACAAACTCATCAACCAGGGATGCTGGGATTACGCCTCAGTGCGTGAATGGCGCGATGTCTCCAACGAGGCAATGTCCAAAGGTGAAACGGCTCATGTTGGCCGCATCTTCGACATATGTGTCGAGAAGAATTCCGAGCTTCCGGAATCCGTTCCTAATCGCAAATTCAAGGGTCGTGTTGTGTTTTAGGGATGCCATGCAAAGATGAAGGCAATAACTGGGCGATTTTCTTTGAAATTACGTCGTGCCCAGCGACCATGGAGGCAGGCAAGGCCGCCGATGCTTTTGGTCTTCTGCCTGGCCATGAAATACAGGTTGCCGATGGCGAGTCCGCTTATACCCAGGCTAAGCTTGGCGGGCCTGCCACATGGGTGCGTTTGCCCAAGGATCGATGGCTGCACGAGTGGCACGGTAAGTATCACGATCCTGTTGTCCGCCTTGTCTTGGCTCTTTATGGGCATCCGCTGCTGGTGGTTTCTGGGAACAGCACTGTGAGAAGGCTCTCCGATCGGTTGAATTCGAGCAATGCCCCGATTGGTAGAGCGTGTTCCGACATCCCCAATTGAATCTCATGCTCGTGGTCTACGTTGACGATTTCAAACTTAGTGGACCAAAGGCCAACCTGGCCAAGGGGTGGGAGCTCATGGCTTCGAAGATCAAATTGGAGCCACCCTCGAGCATTAAGAGCTATCTGGGATGCGAGCATGTAACTTCTCTCACACTGTTCCTGGTTCTTTTGACCCACGGTCCTATTGGACCCGATTTGAGGAGCCCAAGAAGGCTTTTCCCGAGCTCACCTTTGGCGATCGAAACACTAGTGTCGCGCAGGGCTCCACCGGTCCTCGCGAAATCCGGATGATTAAATACGATATGCGATCGTTCATGGAGCAATGTGTTTCTCGATATGTTGAGCTGTGTGGTCCCAAATACAAAGCCACCTTACGATCGGCGGATACGCCATTCCTCGATGAGTCACGACCGGAATTCGATGTCAATCCGGATCGTCCCGCCGTGAACCGCCTACTGGGCCATCCCACCGATACGCCTGTGCCACCTGGAAAGGGTGTTTTGGGCGATTGTGCTGCCGCTGTGCTGATGAAAATACTGTATGGTGCTCGCATGGGACGTTACAATCTTATTCGTCCCGTGCAGGCTCTTGCCAGTCTCATCACCAAGTGGGATGGCTTATGCGATACGAAGCTCCATCGATTGGTGTGTTACATCAATTCGACTCTCGATCTCAACTTGTACGGTTGGATTGGCGATGCACCTGAGATGTTGGAGCTTGTGCTCTATTGCGATGCGGATCTTGCCGGTGATCGCACTGATTCAAAGAGCACATCTGGGGTGTTCATGTGTCTTCTTGGTCCTCGTAGCTTTATGCCCCTTAATGCCTTGTCCAAGAAACAAACTTCTGTCTCGAAGTCTACCCCAGAGGCCGAGATTGTCTCTCTTGACCATGCGGTTTATAAATTGGGCCTAGCTGCTCTTTCTATGTGGGAGTATATGTTGGGCCGTCGATTTCGCTTGCGGGTCATGGAGGACAATGAGGCTGCCATCCGAGTCATTATCACTGGTCACAACCCCAACATGCGTCACATGTCTCGTACCCAGCGTATCGATATTTCTGCGCTGAATGAGCGCTACCACGCTGGTGATTTTCTGTTTGTGACTTGTCCCTCTCAGTTTGAGGCCGGTGATATCCTGACAAAGGCCTGTACTGATGCGAAAGTGTGGGGCCGGAATCTCATGTCCATTGGTCACTTTCGCAAGGGTACTCTTATCTCCTCCGGTATGCTGTCTGCCGCTCCCGCTCTTCCTGCCCTCCCCTCTGTCTGTCCAACCAGGGGGGTACATCTTGAAACCGGTCACACTCCGTTCAATAATTTCATCCGTGATATGTCTCATCAGGGGGTATCGCGATTGACGATGTCACAAATTCGGAGCAGCAATTAAATGTATCCATATCGGGTGCGAGGGCATCATCAAAATCTCTCATGCTCGAAGTATCAATCTCAGTCTCGATGATAATGTGAAAGGGATTGCTATTTCGAACATCAGGGTTCCTCCCATGCCCGCGGTATGTATTATTACTGTTCCGATTGCCGGTACCGTGAACAAGAGTGTCCCAGGTTCCAAGAACAGGGGTTGGAAAGAAGTGAGGGATGAACTTAAGGAAAAAGGATGCGAAGCCAGGAAACTACTTGAGTGTGCTTCTCTAGCCCGATCATCTGGCATTCCCTTATTCTTTGTGCTGCCGAAGGGAAACCCACTTTGGGGAAGAGAGTATCTAAAACGATGGTCTGAATCTCACGAGCTTTACCCCGTTAAGCTTTGCTCGTGTTCCTCGGGTCGATGTTCGATGCATGCATGGGTGTGTGAAGATTTCGTGCCAGCCCGTTTTGGGCCTATTTTCATGTCACGTTTTGCATGCAACCACAAGAAAACCAAGGGGGCAGATCCGAACGAGCTGCAATTTGCATTGTGGGCTCATAGCAATCCGCGATGCCGATTGCTTAAACAAAGACGCTAAGGCCATGTACACACACAGACACACACACACACACACACACACACACACACACTCACATGCGCAGTTTTACACTCGACGGATGGAGCTCTAAGTCTGATGATCATAGATCACTACGAACACTTGACCATTACAGACCACCTCTACTACCTCACAGCACTACACCGACTTTAGCCCACTTGCGCTCCCTGCTAGGACAGGTTGTAGCTGCCACGGGCTGCGAACTCTCCTGCTGCTGCCGCCGCCGTCGACGATGGGAAGGAACAAGCATCCGCTAAGCCCCCGGCTGCCCGATCACCTCAGCAAAAGACTCCCTCACACTGTAGGGAAGGCCTACCGAGCGGCCCGATTGCGCCAGCTACGGAAAGACCGATTCCCACGGAGCATGGTGACTCTGAGATGAGTGCTGCTGACGCACCGGTTCCGATCCAGACTCCGAGAGATGAGTCTACGGGGCCGGAGGCTGCACGAGTGATGAGCCGATGGAAGTCAAGATGAAGGCTATGTTGGTGAAAATGGGTGTCCAGGAGATCCCGCAGAACACCATCTGGCAGCGGGTCGATCAGCTTACCTGTAGCCCCGGCTTCGATAAAAAGCTTCAGAAGTTGACCGACTCGTTCATCCTGAGTACCCATCCGCTCGCGGACAAGCAGGGAAAGAGGTTTCCCCCTGAGTTTACGGACATCATCAACCGATGTAAGGTGATGACCGCACTCGCATTCTCCCGAGTGGCAGTGCTGTCAGGTGACGCCGCAGGTGCCCGCGAGAAAATGGGCCTTGTGATTTCCCTTGTGCGTCACTGCATGCACTTCCAGGCGCAAAGCATGAAGGGCTCCCGAGAGATGCTGAGCTACGATACGCTCCGTCTCATGGGGGACCGATATATCCCGTCGCCTCTCGCGAGCTGGAACCGAAACCTCATCGGTTACAGCAGCAAGTCTGCCGAGCAACGATGGTTGAGAACCGATACTAGCCTCAGCCACAACGACGTTGCCGGCTTCAATGCATCTGAGCTGGTCAGGGATGCGGTCAATCAGGCCGAAGCTGTGAAGTTCTTCAAGGGGTTTCTGCAGCTTCGACCGACGCTGACCTTCCTCCCGGGATCCTTCCTAGCGATCAAGGCTCTCAACCGATTCCCCACGCTTGCCTCTCTGGAGGAACAGGCGATGCATCTCGAGAACGATCGAAGGGAACACGGCTACGATCTCCCGGCCGTAGATGCAAACGGAATTGGGGAAGTGGCCGCATTCCGTGACGAGGGTAACGATGATAACACCCCGTTGATGCGCGGATGGGCCTCATACATGAAGACCTACCCTGGGCGATGTGTCAGCATCCACGATACGCTCAACTGGGGAGCCAGCACCGGCATGACTTACGAAGACGGAGCTGGACAAACGGTTATCCACCCCACCGACGGATGGACATATGTCCCGGCGATGAATTCGGACATTTACAATCCGCAGGACACGGTTCTCCACGGAACCAATCTCCGATACCTCTGGTCGATCCTTGCACACGGAGGTCTCTTCGGAGAGGACTACGTGACCGATTATAAGCTCAACGCCCTTATGCCGCTGAACGGCTTTATAGAAATGAACGGCCTTATGGCAGTGTCTTTCAGAAGTCACGGTTTCATTCCAAAAGTTCTGTGCTCCTGATGCATATTTTGTCGGAACTTTTAATGATGTGCACGAGACGATTTTGATTTGTTGCTCAATGATCATGATGCTACATACTTAAATTGAAATAATCTTTCGGTGTCCGAAGATATATGCTGTCACATACGATCGCATGCTGTACATTACGACCGCATTTTAAAGATATTCGCACATGTCAGCATGTAGGACCAGCATGCATGCTGCAGGATATGTACGTCCCATATATGGTTTCGCAGCTCGTTGCCCAAACGTTTGAGGATGTCCGAAGGCTTCGCGGTCAAAGTTCGGCACATAGCTTCGAGGTTGCACGCGTACTGCGTGCGCCCCGACGAGGGTCGGGTTCGCCGCACAGGTCAGCTGGCTCCTAAGAACACTTTGAGGTTCGGTGCATGTCGTGAAGCATTTTCTTGGTGCGGTGCTATCCACGAGCCGCGGTACTTTACAAAGACTGCTGTCAGAGCTGCATTGGAGCATTTGCTAGACGCTTATAGGGTAGAAGTGCCGCTCTGCGAAGCCGACGGGCTCACACGTAAGGACTGGCTGCGCAAGCAAACGAAGCTAATACAGCATCTTTGCAAACGTTCGGTGAAAAATTCGCTTGCACCGCCACGCGGCAAAGAAGCCGTAGAAAAGCCACCGGCCATGGATGATGCCGACACGCAAGCGTGGGCCATGGAGGACCCGAACAGTACAATTTATGTAGGCAGCAAGTTCCCAGCATCGTTCGCTGCAGGATGTTGATGTTACAGCGAACGCTGTTGCAAGCACTCCTGCTGCGGGGGAGCCTCGAGCCACTCGTGAGCAACAGCTACGCCATGATTAGCTCAAGAGTTTGTAAAATCATCGATCAGGTCAGGATTCTGCGCAAGAGTGCGCTGAAGAAGAAGGCCAGCACCCGCTGGGTTTTCCATATATATATATATATATCTACCTCTATCGATCATCTATCTATATTTATCCATCTATATTCCTATTCATATCAATTTGATGGCTGTCTGTGCACACTCTGAGATGACGTGAGAGGTAGGGGAGCGAAACACTGCAAAAAAACGCCACCCTCGCCCATAAAACGCAAAGAGAGGGAGGGAGATATCTATAGAGAGGAGAGACAGCGAGAGAGAGAGAGAGAGAGAGAGAGAGAGAGAGAGAGAGAGAGAGAGAGAGAGAGAGAGAGAGAGAGAGAGAGAGAGAGAGAGAGAGAGAGAGAGAGAGAGAGAGAGAGAGAGAGAGAGAGAGAGAGAGAGAGGGAGAGTGTGTGTGTGCCCTCAAGCCTACAAATGAACTGCGGAGACAGTGACAGCAGGTGTTTTGGCTCAAGCCGTGAGCGGTTCGAGCCCCGAGCCCTGAGAGGTATCTACAAAAGGGGAGCAACCAGAGGGGGAAAAGGAGTGTGTGAGAAATCCTGGTGCGAGAGAGAGCCATTGTGCAAGCTGTACGTCGTCTTTGCGGTACTACGCGTCTTCTCCTTGAACGCTCTTCCGGGGGAACTCGTGGAGATCGGTCCCGGAGGGTGGCTGTGCGCTGTACCTTCTGAACTTTGTCATACCTCACCACTGCCGCGATCGGCGACCCAACGTGGGCGGGGGAGAGCACTGGCGAGCTGTCTGAGGGCGTCTACGCTGGGCGAGGACGGGCGACTACTACCAGTCCGTGATAATGGCAGGAACGACGAGATCGCCTTGTTCGCCTACTGGGGGAGCCGACACCGGGGGGCCACCCGCCGGCCGAAAGCGACCCGCACAACAAGACGACATCGACGACGACGACAAGCCTCTTACACTTTCGACTCTTCTGGCGGCCCTCAAGGAGAACCGGGAAGAGATCGTTGCACAAGTTCGTGAAGACATCGATGGACTCACCGGTCGCGTAACGACTGTGGAACAGACAGTGGAGGCGCACGTTTCAAACACCACCCGTCTCTTGGAAGCTATGACAGACCGCCATTGTGCTATGGAAGCAAGTGTCCGGGGAGTTGACGAAAGACAGCAAGCCGTGGTGCAGCGTTTGGAAGCCCTCGAAGGACGTTTTGCCCAAGCCAACTTTTCTTTGTCAAGTACCAGAACATCCGACACGGACGGGGGGAATCAACGCCCCGCGATCGTTGTCGGGGGATGGAGTGCAGACCAACACCATGAGGACACACTTCGATTGGTCAAACAGCACCTCCAAGAGCTCAACATCGACCTCGACACCAGCAAGGCCTTTGTTCCCGGGCTCCGTAGAGGCTTCGCCCTCGTACCCCTCACGAAGAACCTGGGGGAAAGTGATGAAGAACAACGAGCCCGCGTCCAAGAAGCCCTTCGTGCTGTTCGAGCCGCTAAGGTAGTTACTGGACAGAAACCTGAGGGCGGGGAAAGATACCTCTTCGCTGCCATGAGCCAGAGTCCCGAGCGTCGCAAGCGTGCACAATTAGCAGGAAAAGTTAAACGATTGATCATTGAGGAAGGCGGGGATATCCGCCGCATCGACGTCGAGTACGGGACTGCCAACCTCTGGTACAACAGCATCAAAGTCGCTTCCGGGGTTACCTCGCCTCCCGATGGTGCCTCAGTGGAAAAGGCAGGCTGGGTCCACCTTGGCACCCTGGCACGCCAAATCGGGATTTCGGAAGCAGCTGCTACCTCCAAGTGGGGGGAACTTCGCAAGGCGCTGCAGTGAACTCGGCGAGACCCGAGGGGGAGCATGGCAGCCCAGCGAGCAGAGCTGGGGAAAGTGCATGTCCTGTCCTGGAATGTCGGGGGGCTCACTGCGGCTAAAGCACTGGAAGCTATCCTGGCACTCCGTCGGCAAGGAATTCAACCTTTTTGTGACTCCCTCATCGTCTCCATCCAAGAGATCATCTGCGATGGGGGGAAACACCACTTGTCTCTGGAAGAGCTGCACATGATCTTCGGAAAACGCGAAGATGATTGGCGGGGGACAGCCATTGTCCACACCTCCAACCTGCGGCACTCCCGGGGAAAGATTCTGCCATGTGCGATTTCTTGCACCTTGGCTTCTTCCGATTTTCGATTAGGAGCTTTCTCACTTCACATTCCACATCATGCAACCTTATCAACCACCGAACAGATCCTACAGAGCATCCACAGCCACATACAATCACACACCCGAGCCGTGATTGGGGTTGATGCCAATGAGACATTCTCGTGTGCCCGGCAGAACCGACAGCTCAAAGCATCGACAGCACGGGGGGAACTGCTCCTGGAATGGTTTGAGGAACAACAGTGTCATTTCCCGCCTCAAGAACTCGATAAGCCGAGCCACTTTCCCTACAACCAACAGTTGGAACCTCGGAGATTGGACTATGTTCTTGCCAAGAAGTTGCTTTGTGATGCCGGTCGCGTTTTAGCACATAGGGACATAGCAACTTCAGACCATGAGCCGGTGACAGTACCTCTCACACAGCTATGCCTCAGCCCAGCAACTGGGGGACAGCAACCGGCACCATGGTCGGCAAGGCATCTCATCTCCTTGAGTGAGGTAGACAAGATCCTCGATGCAGATACACAGGTCGGGGGAGACCCCGTAGCTCAGCTCCAGGCAGTCGCTGTCGCCATTACCAAACCTGGCAAAGACAAGAAGCCCTTCCGTGAGTCAGCCGAGCTGCGAGCGACCCGCCGACAAGCACTCTTGGCAACCCCGGGGGAAGCACGCCGACGACTTTGGAAGCTTGCCCGCAAGATGCACAAGGATGAGCATCGGCAGTGGAGGCAGCTCGCTATGCAACGTGTGGCGGAGCTCGATTGGGGGATGAAAAAGGCCCTGATCGAACAATCCCGCGATCACTCCTGGGAACTCGGGCTCACGGACCAGGACAATTGGCGGAAAGCGCTTGTTGAGCACTTTGAGAAGATCTTTCACCGCCAAAAACAACAGACAGTGACAGACGTCATGCGGGGGATCCTCAAGAACCTCGAGCGAGAGTGCAAAGTTACACCATGGAAACCTTTTCAACTCGAGGAACTGCAGGAGGTCAAAGCCAAATGGAAAAATGGCAAATCCTGCGGGCCCGACATGGTCTCACACGAGGCCTTGAAGGCAATGCTGCCTCACCCTGTGTGGGGGAACCGCATGTTGGCCATCTTCAATGACATGCTCTACACATGTCGTATCGTCGAAAGCGTGGAGGCCGGGGTGACTATACTTCTGGCAAAGACAAGCCAACCACAGGACTGGAGCGAAACAAGACCCATCACCTTAAGTTCCACGCTGCTCAAGACCTTCGGGCAACTCCTCTTACAACGAGCGGGGGATGCAATCCAGAGCCCCGCAAGACTGCAATGGTGCAGAAAAGGCAGGCAAGGGGTCGAACTCATCATGATCCTGAGGCGCCTGGCCAGAGTTGCACGTGACTGGGGCCTGGAGTTCTACATCGCGAAACTGGACATACGCAAGGCTTTCGACTCCATCTACCAAGAAAGCCTCGCCCAGCACGTCAGCAATGTGGTCGGGGGAAAGGCGAAGCTCCCGTGGGAGGCACGAGCATGGGTCGCCCTGCTCCATGCCCAACAGATCACGATACAAGTCGCGGGGGAAAGTATCCCCATACAACAGAGCAACGGCGTGCGCCAAGGGGCACCCGAGAGCCCTGTTGCCTTTGGAGCAGTGGTCGCTGATGATCTAGATGCCGCCATCCATGAAGCCCGCCAGTCCAAACCGTCGGGGGATGATTCGCCTCCAGAAGACGGGGGGAGCTACATGGACGACAACTACATCTGGTCCACGGACCGCAAACATTTCCAACATATGCTGACCTCCCTTGATGGTCGACTACCTCGACGTGGACTCTATCTGCACCCGGGGAAGACAGACATTATCAGCAACTCCGATGTGGAGACCTCCTTCCAAGTTGCGGGGGAAAGAGTTCCCACGAAAGGGCCAAAGCACGTGTTCCACGTCCTGGGGAGTCCTTTGTCATTCCAAGGGGGAACCGCGATGCTATTGGCAGAGGCTCAAAGTCGAGCCCGCAAAGCCTTCTGGAGTCATCGTGAATCCTTCAC